ATGGACCACTATTGTTTATTTGGGTTTATATCAAACAATAGTTGCTAAGAATAGATGAAATTAGGAGTAGAAATCCTAATCAAGGTCTGGAAAAATTTTTCGGTTCAAATACAGACGAATGCCCATTCTATTTTATATCCTATATATATTTTTACCCTTTTAAAGGAAGTAACGGAATTTATTATCATATATCATCCAATACTTGTCTCTATATATATTTAGGTTAATTAAACTTATTATATTATTATTTACACACCCCTTTTCTACCGAAAGGTAAGTACGACATTTTACTTACCCATTAAGGGACGAGAGCCATTCTCTACCTCTACTATAGTGGGTTATNACCTCTTCACCCCACGACTTAGTATTGGACTGAGATGGCAAATATCTCATAATATAGCATACATAGTTACTATCAGAATGATTGTCCTATTAAATGGACGAGGGTTGTTTCAACCCCATCAAGAAAGGATTATTATCATTATTTACAATGTGTATTAGACCTATATATAGAAGAGTCAATTAAATATGATTGATGTTCCGCATTTTGTTAAGAGTAAATCAAGTAAAAAAGTGGAGACTGACGTGTTATGTACGGAAAAGATTTTTCAGGTCGTATTTAGGGCTTTAAATCCTCAGTTCTATCTATTGAGAGAAACTATTGTGACTATGTCAAACATCTACAATACTGGCTGGTGCAATTCACAGTGGTTAAGTATACGATTATGAATCACATGATCTGTGTGGTGTTCTCATTGCTCTTCTCTCGAAACCTACTACTTTCGATTATCCGATTCATAATTGAACTTATTAACTTGAAGAAATAATCTCATGAGCTGGGACCAATTTCTTACAAATATGTAACGGACTAGAGTCTCTGATTTTACCCTTTTTCGAAACCCCTTTATAACTTTTACCGTTTCTGGTGACATGTTCTATACTTACACATTCTTACTCTTTCTGTTCTGGAATGACACCTGCAACTTCTTGAACTGATCTCATGAGGATTTGTTGTCAAAGATGAACCAACTTCAAGGGCTATGCTCTAAATATGCACGATTTGCTCAATTAGCGTTGGTATATAGTATCTGCTATTGAATGCTGACACTCTGACCCCATATCCAGGACTCATTATGTAGAAATTATTTATACTCACCTGAAGGGGGCAAAACAATTAGTAGGTTACCATCAAAAAAACCCCATTTGTGAATCAGCCTACAAAGCTTGGATGTGCTCCTTACAAAGATCATAGAATCAATTTCATAATCTATGATTTTGTTTACTTCATTAACATTCACGTGCATCATTTTACCATTAGTCTTTATGACCTAGTATGCCTCTGAAATGAATATAACTTAGCTGTTCATTTGTGAATAACTGCTTGCATTATTATAATAAAGTGTATTATAGTAAATTTTATAAGATCCTACTCCAAAATCTATGAAGGGTGCTATAAAAGGACAAGTTAAGCCTTCTGGTTTCTAAACATATTCGCAGGGTGTCAATTTCAGTGCAGCGATATGAGTTGGTTGTATATCTGAGAATAGACAATGACAATTTGCCATAAACAGTTCTATAGATTGATCTCATGTAAGAATTCAGTGGATGTGTTCTCTTGCTTCTTCCTTCTTTACTGCTCTCTACTTTTCAAACTGGAGCTACCAAATCTAACTTACATTCGAGTTTCAATCAGAAGTTGATTCAAAAGAAAGTTGCAAATGATTTTGATAGCACGATACTGGGATTCATTGAACATAGTATCAAAGTCATATTAGGAGACTAGAATGACAAACAGCTTGATCTCCAAGAGACATATGATTTCAACCCTTCTAATCATTTTTTTTTTTGTTTGTTTGTTTGTTTAACAACATCCAGACAGAATTGTGACTTTTTGATGATGTCTGAAGGAAAGTAACTACGCACTTAAAGCCATAAAATGAGCCTTGGTTCCAAAATATCAAGCCTCAAAAGTAGAGTATCATTGGTAGCCAGAGCTACAATCCAAGTATATGAAAAAGTATGGCACGGCGGCTGTATAGTATGCTTAGCACCTTCTACAGGAAAATATCTCGCATGAGCCGCTCCCTATTGTACTTAGCATGATATGTACCCCTCCATGTCCCCCAATTTTTTCCAACCTTAATTGAAAATTACCTTAAGGATTGTGCCCATCTGAAAGTACTATAATATTCCCCATGTTTCTCAACTTAGAGATCATCAAAATTTCAGCCCAAAAGGTTGAAAATTAGATGCTCTTTTATCACTTTTTAGTTTCAAAATTTGGTCTTTTCTACAGTTTTGGTCAGATCTCGCATAGAATAGAAGTATTTTGTATCATGGTAACCTGCCTCCCATAAGATTTGATGATTTATACCATGGTAACTAGAGCTTGAAATTCAATGCGATGCAATGTACCTGCATCTCTTAAAAGAGTACGGAATCTACACGCTTGAACACAACACAAACATCACCTATACTTCAATCAAGCTCTGAAATCTGTTTCGTCCAAAAATGATCATTAGACGCCTTGTTGAATTTATCAACCTGGCCAAAATCAGGATTTCACCAGAGAACATGGTGTAATCGAAGTCCATCAGTTAGTTGAGTCGCCCCCTTTTTTTTTGCACAAACCTTAATCAAAAAGGGGGTAAAATGCTATACAATTTTAGTAACAGAAATATCAGCGGTAACAGTGGTAGCAGTGATTCTTGATGGATAATTATATTTCAATCTACAATAGCTACTAATTTTTGGGTTAGTTAGTACTTCACTTATCATAGTGACACGCTCTATGAACTAAATCAAAAATCTAGATATTTTTTCACTGTTTCAAAACAGCCAACCCAATTACAAACAACAAAATCATCCTCTAACATCACTATAGTCAGTGAACATTTAAAATTACCTCTTCTCCCTCTGGTACTTACACCTGGAACCGAATAAATGAACTCGTTAGAGTTGTTTGAACTTTGGTAAAGTATGAGGATGGAAGCCCACAATACCGTTCTAAACATATACGTAATGGTATATTATATTATATGGTGAATATTTTTTATAAAATCACTTGAAAAACAAGACATGCGTTGAAATACAGAACGTGCACCTGGGAGAAAACAATATTTATGGAAACAGAACCGAGCCAGACAGACAAATGAAGGTAAAATTCGCATACCGTAGCTGTTGATATGATTTACAAGTGGTTGTTTTGTGTATGTGTGTTTTCGGATTCATCACACACACGCAGACAAATTTTATATGTAAGCAGTTGGAATTTGAAAGGGAAAATAAAATCCCCTTCAACTGATCTTGCCTTGAGAATCCCTCACATAGATAAGATTTAGGACGGTCATACATACATACATACATACTACAAGAAAAATCAACATATTTAATTAACGTACGTTATGATTTGTATTCTGAATTGAAAAAAAAAAAAAAACATACCTGAAGTGTTTCAAAAAAACGAAAACAAATGATAAATAAACATGTAATGAATGTTATTCTCTTTCAGGGAAAATGAAAATCAAATCCCCTTTTTATTACCTTGCCTTAAGAATCCTTCACATGAACAAGATCAAGGGGACGGAAAGACATACGTACTACATACTACATACTACATACAAAATCACCACATTTGATAAACGTACGTTAAAATTTGTATTCTATATTAAAATAACATACCTAGAGCTGTTTGAAAAAAACAAAAAAACAAAAAACAAATGATAAATGAACAAGTAAACAAATGACAAATGACAAATGACAAATAAACAAGTAAACAACAATGTAATTTTCTTCTTCACTCTCCCTTCAATCAATCAATCAATCAATCAACTAAATATCTTTTTTATCTTCATCTTCATTCACAATCTCAACTAATTTAACATCATTATCATTATCTCTCAAGGCAATATCACTAGCTTTGAAATCCATGAAGAAATACTTCAAGATCAATTCAATCCCCCAACAAATTGCAAAATCACCAATCATAACACTTGTTAATTTGAATTTAAATATATCAGTCATTGGTACAAATTGCATTGCTTCATTTAATTCTGGGAAAAATTCAGTTGATCCACTCAAACATAAGAATGTAACTCCCATTAATCCATAATACATACCTTTATTATCTTTAATTGATTCTCTAAATGGAGGACCTTGATAATTGATTGTGAATGTTGAAACTTGTTGAGATAATTGAATTAAAAACATAGCTGTATTTAATAATGATGGTGTGAAAGTTTTCTCTAAATCAATTTGTGGTTCTCTTGGTTCTAATTTATATGTTTCTTTAGTTATATAAATTAAAGAAATCAAATGAATTGCAAATTGACCTAATATGGAACCCATTATATAAATGTTAAAAATACCTGGTTGTGGTCTTTCCTTTGATAATTTATCTAATGTTTTACCTCTTGAAATAGATAAAAAGCAAACACTTAATAATAAACCTGAAACTGTTGCTTGTCCATCACCA